GGGCTAATCCTGTAAGGAAGGCAGGAAGGAAACATTCTGGTGTTGCTTACAGAAACTGCCTCTCCGTTGACCCTTATTACATTCTTGGCAGGACTGGACTTCCTGTCTCAGGAACTTCTCTGGAGTTTTTTCCCCCCTCCTTTGCTGGTCCTTTGCTTGTGTGGAGGGACCATTCCAAGTTACAATGGCACTGAAAAAAGTGACTTATGACCGTTTTCCACACTTACGACTGTTGCAGCATCCCCACAGTCATGAGAGGCCAGGCGAGGAGATGCGTGCCTCGATGTGAGTGATGTTGAGTTGGCCATGCCCAGCCAATAACATGACCACCAAGCCACGCCCACCAATTTAGCCACGCCCACAGAACCAGTTATTAAAAAATTTGAATCCCACCCCTGGTGTTAATAATAATAATATAGGAAATACTCTAAATGCTCTGATGGTGGTTTTGAAAAATCCTTTCTTAGGGAGTCCCTAGAAGCCAAGAGGAACAGACCGGCCAAATGTCAAGTTTGCAGGCTTTACAGTTCTAGAGATTTTGTGATGATGTGTAATGGTATTTCGCTTTTATATAGCGAGATCATATGAGCTAGGATAGCCATAACAACAAGTCAGCCACTGGGAACTGTATGGTGACTAAGAAACCGCACCTGTTGTGGGCCATGGGAGATGGATCAGGGCTTGGCTTAGATTACTGCTCTGTATATAAGAGTTACTTTGTCCTTGGATCTTTGCTTCTGTGTTTATGTTGCTTCTATTATTATGACTTCTGGATTCTGAGTTCTGCTTTCTGCTGCATGGGTATTGTATACATGCATCATACTGTATATTATAGCTCGATACCCGTGCTTCACTTTGAAACTATGTGGCGAGGCTTAGTTTTTGGGGAGGAAAATAAGGGGGGGGGAAAATTCTGCCTCTGCTTACCAGCATCCATCGGTATTCATCGTCCAGTCAGTGTGTGAGAGAGTTGAGGGCTGTTTGGAAACTGAAACAGGATTTGCTGTGTGAGCAAGAAGGAGACAGCAAGGAGTCTGGGTGTGGCTTAGCTCAACTGTTCTGGACTCAAGCTGCTTGGTGCTCTGAAATGGAAACTCCTCTCCTCTGCTTGTGTTTTGCATTTGGAACAGATTTCTTTCCAGGTGAGGAGGGGGAGTAGGACTCCTTAGCATCAGAGCGTGTTAATAATAAAAATATAGGAAATACTAAATGCTCTGATGGTCATCTCGAAGAATCCTTTCTTAGTGAGCACCTAGAAACCGAAAGGAACATAGGTGCCAAATTTCAAGTTTGTGGGCTTTACAGTTCTGGAGATTTTGTGATGATGCGTGAGGGGTATTTTGCTTTTATAGATATAGATAGATCTTTATCCTGCTGAATCCTGCTGAATTATTTACTTGTGTGCTGGTTGGATTGCTGCAAGCTCTTCACATGATCAAGGTTCTCCATAGACAAAACCCAACTCCTTACCAGTAAGTGCTTCACCACTTTATCACTAGCAACCTTCACATATGGGCAGCCTTGTCCATCACAAAGTTTGGTCTCTTCAGAGTCCTGGAAATGAGACGTGGGAAGAGAAAATTACACAGTAGATTTAGGCCTGTCTTCCCTGTGCTGACAACTACCCAAAGAATTGATCCACAGCCTCCATCCTCTTTGACTAGCCGGCTACCTGAGGATAAGAACATCTGTTTAAACACACCTGGAATGAACAATGTGGACAGCAGATCGTACCTCAAGGTTTCCAGGGAGCAGCGCAATTTCTCGCTTCCCTCCAGGATACCAGCCGTAGGACCAGTGCTGAGCTCTTGTCAGTTGCACACCAATAGCAAAAACGATGCAGAAGAAGACCAGGAGGGATTTTCCGTACACCATAATGTGATCTTCAACCCCGCTATCTCTGTGGAATCTGGATAGATGGGGAAGAATGGAAATTTGGAAATATTTCTTGGCAGGGTTACCGTCAGCATTCAAAGTCTCAACCCTGTCATATTAAGAGAAACACATGCCAACTCGTAAAGCATCCCTACGCCTGTTTTCGAGTTGCCATAAACAAGGGGGAGGGGGAAAGAAATCTGAAGTAGTAGTGCGGCAGTTTAAAATCAGAAGTACATTCCAACTCTTCACTTACAAAGATTGTGGCTAAGCTACCGGATCTTCTGTCCACGAAAATCCTTAATTGGAGAATGTGATTGACAACACCCAGCCTGTGAAGGTGCTTCATTAGAGAATCTGATTTATGACACACCCAGGGGGGAGGGGGGGAAACAGGGTCGCAGAGCAAATTACATATGCCAGAGTTGGCTTCATACAGGTTCATGCCGGACATGTTGTTCCTAATAAATCTTCTGGTTGCTTTTGAAGCTTGGCTTGAGGCTCATGATTCAATTAGGGCAATTGTCGGAATCCTGACAACACAATGATGGAGATAGCGACCAAGTTTTTCTTCTGTCCCTCGAGATCATCTCAAGATGTTCTCCTCCCCATGGCAGCATTTTTTAAAAATAAAGTATTATTGATTTTCTACTATTACATTTAATTAGTGCTTAATAAACATCGTGTTGTCAGGGCTATTTTTTGCTTAACAATACAAATTATATTCCTAAACCTTATCCCTTTTTTTCCAGCCATTTGTAAAATAAATTCCATGTTTGTCAGTATTCAGTATCTTCTTTCTGTTTAATCTTCAGTGTGAGTCTGTCCATTTCTGCACAGCCCAATATCTTCTTCATTATCTCTTCATCTGATGGTATTTCTTCATTTTTCCAATGCTGAGCAAATACAAGGCATCAATGTGGACTGAGGCTCCTGGGTGCTTTCTGATTGTTAATGTTCCCTAGTTTGGGTAATAAAATGTCTGCAAGAAAACAACCAAGCTCAGAGAGCACCAAAGACCCCACAGGCCTCCTCCTCCTCCTCCAACCCCACTCCCTTGCAGCATTGATGATGTGACCTAGTTGGGTAATGCAATGTCTGCAAGAAAACAATCCAGCTCAGAGCACCA